AGTGTTAAATGCATTTTTTATAATTTATAGAAAGGAAGGGAAGGGGGATAAAGAAGAAGAAGAAAAAAGGTTGATTTTCATTTTTTATATCTGTCAAACCGGAGTTTATTTAATTGTCGATAAGAAACGGATGCTTCAAAAGTTCATCTGCACTAGGTCTTTCTTCATGATTACTAAAAAGAACAGGAGTCAATAGACATGTCATCTTCTTACCTGCTCTATTTTACTTACGCTTGGAATGTACATTTCAGAAAGTCTTGGGCATCTTCACTCAGATTAGGTGGAATAGTAGGAGCACTTGAACTGCCAATCTAAATTCATTTCTTCAAATTTAAATATGTATCTTCATTTGGGGTGTTTGGAAATGAGCTTACTTGAAATATAGCTTGCATTTGTGAATATTCAGGGAAGGGATGGTCGCCTGTGAACATCTCTACCATCATACATCCCAAAGACCAAATATCTGCTTTACGTGTATACTGTGTCTGTTTCACTACTTCAGGTGCCATCCAATAAATAGATCCTTGAAGACTAGGACGATGAGCAGCTGATGGATTTTGACCATGCATAATGATATCTTTTCAAATAGTATTTGAGTCATGTGTCCCATTGATAACTCTCCCTTTTTACCTTCTTCTACTTTCTTGGATATGCCGAAATCTGTAATCTTCACTCTTCCTTCATTATCCACCAACACATTGGCTCCTTTGATATCACGATGCACAATATCCTTTCCATGCAAATAATTCAACCCCTTCAATATCTGTCTCACAAAACTCTTGACGAGTATTTCCTGAAATGCACCATAACTCGATAACAATCCAGCCACAGATCCACCTGGAACATACTCAAGGAAGATACTGAAGTAGTTCTCTTCTGATTTGGATCCCAAGTACTGAACAATGTTCTCATGATCGAGGTCCTTGAGTAACTCTACTTCTCTTCGGAGTGAGTCTACCATCAATCGTTTACGTTCTTCTGTAGCTGAATTCTCTACAGGAAGTTCTACTTGTTTCACAGCCATGAGTTCACCGTTTGTTGGGTTCAAACCAAGATAGACATCACCGAATGTCCCTCTTCCAATCAATGACCCCTTCATCCAAGTATCGGGCAAAGTCCTCTGTTTCTCTAAAACAAAAGAAGAAGATGAGTTGAATCAATCACTTTTTATCTCTCTTTACTCACTTTCTTCGGGTTTTGGTGTAGTTTGTGTATTCAAATGATGTAAACTAGACTCTCTTCTGTTCTCTATCTCCTCTTCTGAATCTTCTGAAGAAGTCGTCTCTACCTCTTCTTCTTCTTCCAAGAACTTATCTAAATCTACACCCAACACAGACACCAGTTCAGGCAACACACTGTTTCTATAGTTACGTGGTTCTAATCGACTACTGATCGAGTTCCTCATCGATAATCTCTGTACTTGTATTCCTGCTGTCTCGAGTGTCTCTTTATTGTGATTAGGAAAGAATGAAGATAGGTTAGACGAGATGATTTCAGATGGAGGACGTTCACCAAAGAATCGTCGTCTGGCAGATCGAACACTCTCATCTTCACTGATATGACTCGACGTCCATTGTCGAATCGTGCCTTTGCGTTTGAATTCTTCATGTGTAGGGTACATGTGTCTCTTTCTGAGGATCAAACGTTCTTTTTCAGGACGATCAGCTGAACGACAGATGTCAATCAACTCTTGATCTGACAAAGCACGAGCTAGAGAGGAATGACATATTTAAAACTGATCGTCTCTTCAACATGCATATAAAATACCTTCTCCGTTGGTACTACTGCCTACAAAGATACAGTAACTATCTTCGTTCATTTCTTCAATACCAAACTTATGCAACACTTTAGCCATAATTGACTTTGCATCATTCGTTCTATGCACATTCACTATACGTGTCTGTCCATCCTCACCAAACACTTTCACGCATGTCTGCTTTACTTTTTCCATCGACATAATACCTCCTTCTAATGAATGACGCTTTTTTTTGAAAAAAAAAAAAGTAAGTACACGTCCATTGTCAAGCCATGCTTCTTACCTTCTTCGGACTGGGTGGCGTGATCTCATTCAACTTCTTCTGTGTTCTCTTTGAATCGGCTCTTCCCAGAAACCTCGAGATCGAATTCGATCTGTTCAAGATCCCTTTTGGTTCCACTTTCTTTTCGGTTACATTGAATCCTTCATGAATAGTCTACTTTTTTCATACTCTTTTTTTTAACCCAAAAAAAATAATAAAAAAAAATAAAAACATAATAATCTTTACTTTGGGTGTTCTTGCTGCTAAGGATGCAGTCAAGTAACATTCTTGTCTTAGCGACTTGATCATAGTGTTTAAACGGACGCGGTCACCTACTGTTTTGATGTCCATAGCTTTGAGTGCTTCATAATCTAAATCCAATAAGATACAACCTGTGATATGGTGTTCTAAGAGAGAGCATTAAAAAAGAGAAAGATGACCACAGAAGATGTGCTTTACCTATGAATTTAGGGGAGAATCGTTGTAAGGATTGACTGTTTAACCATTCAGCTACTTTGGTTTCTGACCAGTGTTTGACTTCTTCTAATAAAGTACGTTTGTATTCTGGATAAGAAGGTGAAGTAGGTGAAGGTAATCGATATTTAGAAGGTGAAGTAGGAATAGACATAATGAAAATATAAAAAAAAAGGAGAGAATAAAAATAAAAAGGTGGGAAAAATCAAAACAAGAAAGATTTTTGTTTATAAAGGGGATTTCAATTTATTTCTTCTAACAACGAAAGAAAGTCTTTGGAATTGAGGATGGAGTTACCACCCACGACGATTCTGATGCCGGGGATGGTTGCATTGAGTTGAGAGATACATCTTGCTTCTTCAAAGGTGATACCACCACACATAAATACAATGATATCTTGAGGTCTGAAAGAAGAGTATAAGTAAGGAATAAGGCGGTCTATTCTCTTTTACCTTTCTCTGGTTGTGGGTGTATTTAAGTAAGGGTAGTCTGTTTCTTTCAATTTGGCTTTGATCAGTGCATCCATGATATCCATTAACAAAGGTTGATGTTGAGTATAGATGTTCTCTACACCCTTTAACCCCTTCAATGCACTCTTACCCCGAGATAAGAATGTTTGATTGGAGAATAAATCGACTTGTCTCTGTTGATATCCAGCATAATACAGTAGATTGGGAATAAGCTATGATAAAACATCAGTTAGCAGTGTTATCAATCACTCTTTGTAGTATACTTTACTGCACTCTTCTTCTCACTCACTCCTATCCTATCTAAATGCTCAATCAATCCTTTGATGGCATTATTAGACATACGTTCATATCTTAATGCATACAACAACACTAATTTCAACTTGGCATCTTCAGATAACCCCGGATTATCCAATGCAGCCTGAATACTCCTCAGATCACTCTGATGGCTCTCATTACACGCCAAATTCTGCTCCAACTCACTTATCTCCAACAAATGATCTTCCTCTACTCTCCTACTCAGTTCACTCACCAAGGCCACATGTTTCGATACATTGCCAGACAACTTTCTGAACTCAGGGTACTCCTCCACAAACCGCTTCATGTCTGCAATGGACTCGATATTCATATTACTCTTTGTCTTTGTCTGGTACTCATCCACGTACTGTTTGATGGTTGCACCCAAATCACCGAAATTCATGTACATTGACTTTTTGAAGAACGGATCCTGATCAGGCGACAACACAATCTCCTATAGAAGTAGTTAACAAGTCAAATAGGCATAGGATCCTTTCTATTGTTATTATTATTTTTTTTACTTTCAGTTCATTCTTCACTTCGGGTATATGAGTCATATCCACTCGTCCATGATGAATCCCAATCAACTCATGCACCATGGCCTGATACGTCCACTGAAACAAAAGCGGAGTGACAGGGTCATTTCTTCTATCCAAAATCAACAACACAGGAGGAGTATCTGGTTTCCTGAAATCAAACAACTGTCCTTCCTGCTGAATCGTATAAGCAACCTGATGTGCCAACACTTTCGTCATGGCACTCTTACTTTCGTACCGAATCACCGGTTTCTTTTTGAGACTCAAGAGGACCGCCACCACGCCTTTGACGGTCGTTTCGAGTTCGACCGGATCCCATTCGGACACGTTGTTCTTCAGAAACAATCGGTGGTGTTGGCCAAGTGAAAACAGGTCAGAGTGAATAGCAAGGTAGTCACCGTAGTATTCTTGGATCTCACGAATGACCTCGTGTTCGTCTAGTTCAGCGAGTTGTTCAATATCCGCACGACGAATACTGTTGCTGAAGTCTATGATATACATGGTTATTGTGTGTCTATGTGTATCACTTTTTTTTTTCTTTCTTACATAGGTAGTAGTCCCCGTAGGCGGGATCTCGTAGTTCAGCCATAAGGTATAACAGGGTTTCTCGTGTGGGTCGTAAGAAACATATACACTTCATGTGCTTCATCTTGTCTCGGTTCGTATTATCGATTCTGTCTATCAAGTAACACTCTTTGGTTAATAGATGAGATTGGGTAGTGACAAGTGAGATGATGGCTGTCTATTGAAAGAAAAAAAAATGAGTGGGAGCAGAGAAAGCTTTTATAGCATTTACAGTGTCTATGTCGAGTAAGAGGGCTTTCATGCCAGGAACATCGTTTATCATCTTGTCAGCATAATGCTGAACTGCCTTGATGACATCCATTGAAAAATAAAGAAAGGTGTAATGTTGGGGAAATGGTGAATGAAAATCTATGAGCTGGTATTCGTACTCCGATGGAAGGGGAAACGGTTAAATCAAAATAATGCAATTTTAAAAGGACTCAAGAACAGGTTTTTCTTGAGTTAAAATGGTTATAAGAGATGCAAAATACGTTTGTTTGACTCTATGCCAAAAAAAAAAAAATACTGATGCAGCCTGATAGAGAGTTGGACCTGTGCATTGGACTGCATAAACCAACTGCGGCATATTTTTATCTACGCATTCAGGGCAGATGTGAGCACACGATATATAACTCTCATCAGAGGGTTTCTTAGTGTAGTGGTCAACACATTAAATTGATTCAATTCTTTGAAAGACGTCAGTTCAAATCTGGCAGAAACCGCTTACTTTTTTCTTTTGCTACTTCTCTTTTTGATGAAGAAGCTCATTCATGCTTATTTTAAGGTAGATAAACATACTTTTATTGATTCAAAGATAATATCCTGGGTTATTTTATGGATTTACTGTATTAAACCGTTGCAATATGGTCTACAGTGTGTAGTCATATTTATCTCATTAGCTGTTGCTGATATATGATCAATTATACAACACAATTGATTGATGATGTGTATTTAATGCTGTTTAGAGTAGAAAGGCTCTGTCCTATCTCCTTGTCTCAACTATGCTCAGATTATTATCACATCACTATTGTCAAACAAGGTAGTTAATTTTGTCATACACATTGGATGACTATTCTATAAATACAGATATTATCTTTGGATTCTAATCAAATACCATATGGTTTATCCAACGCTATTTTACACTACTTGTGCTACTTATTGCGCAGTTATATTACCGTGATTTGAAAACTTATATTAAGCTTCTTATTCCTCCAATGAACACTTTACCTTCAGAAATCATTGAATTGATATTGCATTATCTTAAACACAAAGACATTCTCACTTGTCTAACTGTGAACAGGTATTTCTATTCAATATGTATAAAGCACTTATACACAGAAGTTCATCTCAACAGTGAAGTCAGCTTGAGTTTGTTTCTAAACTCGATTGCTCTATTCCCTCAATCCCAGGAAGCTGCCAAACATGTCCGATTGATCACTACCCACCCCATGGTCATGAGCGATAAATTAATAATTCAGTCCAATAAACCTATAGACTTCCTCAACTCCCTGACGTATCTTCCCAATATCAGACATCTATCCATCAGTCCAACCGAAGATCTTACACAAGCTCTGGCCGACACAGATAAGCCTATTCTCACGAAGCTAGAAAACCTTTCAGTTTACCAGTTTAATAACACAATTGGCTATAGACTGCCGGATTGTTACTACAGATATAGATCATCAATAACAACTCTTAAAATTTACGATACTTTTTTACTTATCACTCAATTTACAGCCGAACAGCTGGTATCGTATGCTGCTTCATTCCCATGTTTACGTCATCTTGTTCTCAATATAAAGAGACCTCGAATGAGACGCATTTTGAATCTTGCCGATATCTTAAAAGCTTGCCCTGCACTTGTTCATTTCAGTTATATCGGAAGATCAATGAATCTCCGTCCTCTTGATCCTGCACAGAAATTTTTCATAAAGAAGCTGAGATTAGGATTCATCTATATGACTGTAAAAGACACCCAGTATATCAGGGATAGTCTGCCGCAATTGAAGAGATTGAGCTTGGTTCTGAAGTCTACCACAGACGATAGAAGTGATATCGTAGGCACTGTGTTACAGATAAAGTCGCTTGATACTATAAGGTGTACATTGCCCAGTGCCCGTGATATGGACACAGCTGCAAGATTTTTTTCCGAGATAAACAGCCGCTCAAAGCAAAGAAATGAGATTGTCATAAATGAAGCCAATCTCAACGTAAAAGCAAGCCAGAGTCTGCCTTTACTTTATACAGCATATCACCCAGATCGAGGTTTGAGAACAGCCAATATTTCGATAGACTTTACCAAGAAATCTCTAGGGATGTTTCCAGTCCTAACAAAGCTAGGCCAATATTTGAATAAGGTGGATATAAATGGTAGTAATACTGCCATTGATCTCGAATGTATCAGCCGTCGTTGTCCTGTACTCTCTTATTTGGTATTACAACATCTTAGTATAATTCCTCACGTTGGAAGGTTAACAGTCAATAACTGCTTAACCAATCTCACTATCAATTCCTGCAGTACCAAGGTATCAGCGCTGAAGGAACTAACAGAATGCTATCCCAAGTTGAAGCATTTATGCTTTTCAGACATTAACATAATGGGTGATGATAAGAATGAGATCCACTATTTTCACTTGAATATCACCTCATTAAAGATAAAGCCATCACTTTTTTCTGGCCCAGTATGGGGCATGATGGTTATAAAGGCTGTGGATGATGTCTGGGTCAAGTCATGGTTATATAATGGTGGCCATCAACAGGAGATTATTGCAGAAGATATACAGACATCAAGTATCAAGCCAATAGTAGACAACCCACTCTATGTGTTCATATCTAATAATGTAGAAGATGTCAGTATCCATTAGTAAAACTATGATCATATGGTAAAATAAAAGCCGTCGTTCATTCATAGCACCCTAGCTCTGTATGAATAGACTTGACATATTAGCCCATCTTCCAACCCACCCGGCCTTAATAAGTAGATCAGGATAAGATCTCTATAGTTATAAATCTCAGCATTATTTCATATGGGAAATCATGTAATAGCATACTTACCGATAGCTTGTTTTTTTTTACTTCAGAATACAGGTATATAATAAGCATAACCACTGTTAAGACGAAACCTTTTCCCGGCCTTCATTGTGTCTCATCACACTGATGAGTGACTATGCTTATTCAGTCAAGTAGTCAGTGCCAACTAATTGCAGAGTGGTTGATTGTGTCTCTTCTATTCTTGGTAGGGCGATTATCATGGAAAGAGAATCGAGGAAAGTAAACACAGAAAATAAATAATACTGGGCACGTTAGAGCCACTCAACTGCTTGGCTTGGAACACTGGCTGTGCTACTTTATATATTCTGTTGATGGCTTAGACCCACAATCTGTGTAACTATAAAAGATTCTATATCGCCCACTTTCCCTTACAGGCTTTCCCCCTTTTCTTCTTATGATTACTCTGCCAGCTGAAATTGTTGAGTTGATTATAAAGAAACTTGAGTGGAAAGACATCCGATCCTGTTCAACTGTCAACAGGCAATTCTATTCGACACTCATAAAGTACTTGTATAGAGAAGTTTGCGTCAGAACTAATGCCAATCTAAATTTATTCCTGGATTCTCTTGTTCTTTATCCTCGATACATCGAAATCGGGATTCATGTCCGGAAGTTGATATTAAATATACCATATGCAATCAACGAGTATTCATTTGGCAGGTATTCAAATGTAAAAGTCATTCATTTTCTGATGCAACTTCCGAACCTTGAAGAAATAGCTATGCGACCATCTATCAGGCTCATTCAAGCACTGACAAACACCAGAAAGCCCATTTTAACTAAAGTAAAGAAACTTGATTTCTATTTTCATACGGATGGTGCCTGCTACAAATACGCTGATTGCTGCTACAGGTATAGATCATCAATAGCCACTCTGTCGGGGAATGATCTTTACCTGTCAAACGACGAATTGATACCCTATCTGGCTTCATTTCCCTGTCTAGATGAACTTCGTGATTTGTCATCAGAGGAGCCTATGGTCTTGACAGATGTTCTCGATGCATGCCCTATGCTTACCAAATTGGATTTCACCTGTGAATCTACGAGCATTCATCATCCGGATCTTCCTAAAAAACAGACATATCTTTTGGAGAAACTTCACTTATCGGCCGATCATATGGCATTGGAAGTTATCCAATTTATCAGGGACAGTCTCCCTCAATTAAAGAGTTTGAAACTGACAATAGAGAATGGCTTGGAGGAATTCGATGCCATCTTGGACACTGTATGGCAAATAAGGTCCTTGAAAACCATGAAAGTCAATTTTCCTGGCTTTTTCAACATAGACATCGTTCACATGTTTGTAGATACTCTAAAGAAATATAAAGAGATGAGTGAAGTCATGAAGCGTGAAACCATAGTCAAGCAAAACTATTCAACGGCACGCCCTTATTTTACCATTGAGTACCAACGTGGTAGTCATAGCACAACAGAAAATCGTCTTTTGATTGGTATGTATAATATGCAGTTGCTTTTGGAAGATCTGGATCACATGGGTAAAAACTTGGATACGCTGACACTACATCCACGGTATAGAGTTCATGCGTGGAGCCTAGAAGACATCAACGAGCGGTGCCTTATGCTCTCTGAGTTGTTTCTTGTGCACTTCAAGTTGATTCCGTTTCATGGACAGGGAACGGTCAATAAGCATTTAACTATGCTCAGTATAGAATCAATTACGGTCAATTGTTCCATATTAAAGAATATTAATGAATGCTACCCTATGTTAAAGCATTTTCATTTAAAATCAGTTGATTTGATAAGTGATGATGATTATGATGAGATCCAATGTATTGAGTTGCCTGTTACTTCATTGAAACTGGATCGATCTGATGTTGGGAATTGCGAATGGAGTATTGTTGTTGTAAAAACCGTGGAAGGTGTGTGGATCAAATCATGGCATTACTGTAGCCAGAGGAAGGGAATGATTGTTTCTGATGGTCCGCTTACCAAATATGATCTTGGGCAATTGATGGAAGGTATAATTTATGTATTCGAATGTAGTTTAGTAGAGGATGTTGTCTTTGGACCATGAGATTGTTCAAGATCATCTGTCCCCAATAAACACTGGATACACATATCGCACTATGAACTGCCCAAATATAGGAACATGCTATCACTCTTTAATCCCTCTGTCGCTCAGTTATACTGCATACTATGCAAATTTATTATAACAAGTGTAGTATTGTCTACAAACAAAAAGCCAATGAATAGTATAATCAAATAAACATGAATTTAATGCTCAGTAGTTGTGCCTTTCGATGTGTCAATCTTCTGGGATACTCTTCTTCTACGAACACATATGAACCCACCAATAACCAAAGCAACATATAAGCAATGCACACTGAGTGATACTTTGGAATAAATAATGAAATATACTGCAAGTAAGTACTGAGAAGGAATTGTTCTGTACTTTATTGTGGAAGTGAACACGCATACGGTGTATACTACAGTGCCAGAAGAATGAGTTTTTTGAGAAAAGAGAGTATATTCTCATGACTATTGTGTGAAGGTGTATCATGGGCTGGGCCTACTACGCTATTGTGAGGGCGTAACTCGTACCAATGTTTTCTCATTCATCTTTATGCTTATTGCCACTTTATTTACCAAGGTTATTGAAGAAGTGGTTGTGGATGTTACAGGAAGGACATTCTGCCCTGCTTTAATGTGA